TTCGGGGGTTTCCAGAAATCTTCACCTTCACCAAAAGTGGGCATTGTCCTACCTGTTTGGTTTCATTTGTGTGTATATTTGTTTGGTTATAGAGGAACTCTCCTTGTCTTTTAAAGAAACTGAACAAGGGTCCAAAAACTTTCCCTTCAATTTTCTCAAACAGCATTTTTCGGAATAGACCCCTTGTGCTTAAAAGCGACCATTTATCGAGCATCCCAGTTCTTCTCCGGAGACGGTGTATTCCTTGTGGTCAGACTTGGATGTCCCTGACAGGCAGCTTTGAAGTCCGCCTCCTAAATGATCCTAATTGCAACGACAGGGGCGTAAAAACACATTGTATTTTTTCCTTCTCTACAATCTTCAAATGGGAGATAATAATATGCGATCGGTGTAGTCTAGGCCGCCTCCACATGCAGAGGTTTAGAACAGCCAGCATTCAATGTGATCTGAAAATGCAAAATAAGCAAAATAAACTGCTACTTTGGGACAACGCTGATTATCTACTCCTCGTTATATCAATAATACTTCAGTCTATATCAACGAAAGTGTTCATGATCTTGCAGAAAATATAAAATTCATTTCCATAAGCGTATAGTCTTTATTTTGTCAGTTCATATTCTCTCTATTGATTGACACCATCCATCGCCTCTCATCCCACTTGATGTGCACACAAAGCAAAAGATGGAAACTGTCATTGGGGAAGGCAGTCACTCTATGGTACGGATGTTCAATACTCTGCAAAGGTATCCATCCCTCTTCTCCTCACATTCCTCTCTTGGGAAAGACTCACATGTTTCAAGGTTTGTTGAAGGTATTGACTTAGTTCCCTCGCCATCAATGTCGCCGTTCTATATCGTCGCCAATCTGTTAATTCACTTGAGCCTATTTCCGTGTATTTATGGGACCTCCGCTGGTCATGTGGCCAAATCCCGTGTATTAACGGGATGCGCCTTATCTATCGATATCTCCAGTGTAAGCTGCAGGAAGCGGCAAGCCAACAGTTGACCCACTCGTTTCGATTCGTCAAAAATTTGATGATGTTGTGTATATTACTTTTTGAGCTGTATCGGACTAAGTCAGTCACCCCTGCATTGCAATAGATGATTTTATGATAAATTGGGCGAAGAAAATAAAAACAGCCCCTCGACATTGCCATTACAAAATATTGATAAACTTACAATAAAAACTATTTGTGAGGCAGCGTGGTGGAATCAGGCTCTCGTCAATTTCTGGGCATGTAGAGTTATTGGTATCATCTTAAAGCTTGTTCGCTTGTCTTTATTTGGATAAAACAATATCCGTTTATCTTGAATACAAGTCGAGATATTTGCGAATGAAGGAGGTGGGGGTCACCTGTTTTCAGAGGTAAAATTAATGAGAAAATGGCAGATAAAGGTTAGTTATTTCCTTAGCTTAAGAGTCTGTGGTAACTAAAAATTTACATTTTATGTGTCTTTAATCAACGTTTTTCAGAAAAATCCACACAGAAACGAGTTCTTTAATGGGCATGAAAGGTGTTAAGCCAAAAAACAACAATTTGAAAAAAAATTCACAAACCTGCGGAAAATTGTTAGTTTCTTCACTTTGATTATTTTGACCAGAGCCTGATTCCACCACACTGCCTCATATCTGGAGAAATTAGATGCTGCTTTCTTTTTCTTCGAGACCATTTCTTTCTTCCCCATGCTGCATTAAAAAAAACTATGACAACTTCCACAGTCTTTTTGTGGTCTGTGGTTCAATATACCCCTAAAGTATCAGGCCTCAATGGTTCTTGGGTGAAATATAGCGTTGGCTTAAGTGAGTTAGGACGTACTAGGTGCAGATGCAGCAAGCGAAACTTTAGGGGGGAGAGGGGAGGAGGGAAAAAACCATGTTTCATTCTGTGGACAGTTGCACATGACATACATTTCAGTTTCGACAAATACTTCTCTAGCACATAAAGCAGATATTAATATATATATATATTATTATTTTTTTTAAGCTTATGCACTGTGTATAATATTATATTT